GCTACGACTGGGTGGAGGGTGCAGGAAACTGGCGGCGGGGTGGCTGAGAAGAGCTGTGAGGTGGGGCTTGAGCCAACGGGTGGGTGGGGCCGGAGCCGCTAAAGACCAGGTCATTAGGGATGAACTTGGATTCGGGTTGGAATCGATTACACTAGACTTGGTCTGAGTTTACAATGAAGCCAATTTGGGGAATTCAGGATGGGAGGAAGCGGGGATGAAAGCGGGGGCGTACTCAGCGTGTGGAGGCCACGAGGTTTAGGATTGAAGAGATCTAGAACTGGACTCAGACACGTGCATTCATTCATTCCCAGCGCTGCCTCTTCGGAGCCCTGGCATCGCAGGCAAGGTCCTCAGCCTCTCTGTCCCTCAGTGACTTACCCGTGGCATGCTGACTGCAGAGGGCCGGTGAGGATCAAATGAGAAAGAGCTGTCATAACAATTATTCTAATTATAGTCACTCCCTTCCCAGCACCAGCCTTAATTATAACACCTTATGCTATCACCTATAATAGTAATGATTAAGGCTGGTGCTAGGAGCATCAGCTCGCTGATGGTTATCTGGCCTGGCCAGGTTCTCAGAAAGGGATCAGGTCAGGAGAGTTGACCTGCAGGAACTCCCCAGACTCTCTCCTGGAGAGAACTAGTGGGGCCAGCCTAGCAGGACGCTGGGGAAAGGGCGCCCGCCCGCCGCCGCCCGGCCCTGGGCCGCCCTGAGCTGGCTCCGCCCCTGCAGGCCCGGGCGTCCATGCAGGCTGAGATGGAGCTGAAGGAGGAGGAGGCTGCCCGGCAGCGGCAGCGCATCGAGGAGCTGGAGGACATGCAGCAGAAGCTGCAGGAGGCCCTGCAACTGGAGGTGAAAGCTCGGCGGGACGAGGAGGCCGTGCGCCTGGCCCAGACCAGGTAAGGCTGAGGGACCTCGGACGCCCCTCCCCGGCTCCCCGCCGCCCCGCTTGCTGAGCGCCTGCCGGTGCCTGGGCTCTGGAGACGACTCAGTGCGCCCGGCCGGCCGCAGGCTGCTGGAGGAGGAGGAGGAGAAGCTGAAGCGGCTGATGCGGATGAAGGAGGACCAGGAGCGCTACATCGAGCAGGCGCAGCAGGAGAAGCAAGAGCTGCAGCAGGAGATGGCCCTGCAGAGCCGCTCCCTGCAGCTGGCCCAGCAGCAGCTGGAGGAGGTGCGGCAGAACCGGCAGAGGGCGGATGAGGACGTGGAGGTGAGGCCTGCGATGGGACCGGCGGTGACCGGCAGAGTGAGAGCGGGAACCTCAGATCCCCCACCCCAGCCTTTTCTCAAACCCTGGTTGCGTCCTCCTCTGGCTGTGACCTTGGAGAATTGCCTGACCTGCCTGAGTTCAAGTCCCTCCTTGGGGAATGGGGACTGGAAATAGCATTGTTATGAGATTGAACGAGATAAGAGTGTCCCGACTAACGAGTTTTTTGAGATACCAGCTGTCTCTCGGCCGATTTTTTGCATTGAGTTGACAGAGTAATTTGAGTTAACGAGGTCCTTAACGAGCTCGATCTCCGAACGAATTAGACTCGTAAGTCAAGGCCCCACTGTATTTCATATGTAGTAAGGGATGAAGAAACGTTAGCTGCTATTTTTATCATTACTATTAATCAGGGCAAAATTTTTCCTCCTTCTCTTCCAAGATCCTATTTTGCTCTCCCTGTATTTTGCATCCTCTCCTTGAAGCACAAATCTCCGTGGAAGAGAAGTTTTATATTTTGATGTTTTGTTCTTATTAATAGTGTTTATTTTATTTTTCTTTGTTGGCTTACATGATCATCATAAAAAAAATTCACACACAAAAATATGTAACATGGAAAGGAAAAGTTCCTCTACGACCCCACCCCCTGTGGCTAAGGGCCAGTGAACATCGGAGCAGAGGCTTGTACACTAGCTCCCGAGAGGCGGTGGGGCAGTGGTGTCAGGTCAGCGTGTGTCCCCGGCCAGTCACTTAGCATCTTCTGCACTTGTTTGTGGTTAACGTCTGCTCTGGGGGTTGAATACCATAATAAATATACTTAACACATCTTGGCCGCTTAATAAACGGAAACTATAATTATGGTTACTTGCAACCCTGTGGGAGGGGTCTTAGGAGTCCCCTGAAATTGGATACCAACTCTGCATATATACCTCACTCTGTGAATATGCATGAGTTCTCCGAGGAGCCGGTCAGCAGCCTTGGTCACATCCTAAGGGGTCTGTGCTCCTGTAACGGTCAAGACACGCTGTCTTGGATAGTGGCTCTGACCCCTCCCCCCTGGCTGTGTCGTGTCCCCAGGCCGCCAAGCGGAAGTTGCGCCAGGCCAGCACCAACGTGAGACACTGGAATGTCCAGATGAACAGGCTCATGCATCCGATTGAACCTGGAGGTGAGAGCAGGCTAGACTTCGGTGCTCTCCCCGGAGGGAGGAGGGCGAAGGGAGAGCGAGGGGCCCTCCAGACCTATAGAGCCTGCAGGGCTAGGGGCCAGAAGGTCCTCCTCCCCAGGGCTGAGGCCAGGCCTGTCAACCGCTCCCTTTCGCAGTACCTTTCTCCCGACTCATGCCTGCCTTTTCTCTGTCAGACAAGCGTCCCACCACCAGCAGCTCCTTCACGGGCTTCCAGCCCCCTCTCCTTGCCCGCCGCGACTCCTCCCTAAAGCGCCTGACCCGCTGGGGATCCCAGGGCAGCAGGACCGCCTCACCCAGCACCAGTGAGCAGCAGAAGTCCCTCAACGGTGGGGATGAGGCTCCCATCTCGGCTTCCAGCCCTCAGGAAGATAAACTGGACCCAGAACCAGAAAACTAGCCTTTGCGAGCCTCTTTCCCCCCAACCTCATGCCCACCAGGACCTGCCACAGCTGGCCTGTGGGTGACACTGGCCCCTGCGAAGAGGGAGCTGAGGACCTGGTGTCAGGGGCCAAGGCCCTCCAACCACGAAACAATCCAGAATGGAACCTAGTTTATTTTTGGGAGCAGCCCCAGGCCCCAGGCCACTAAGCCTGCCTGGGATGTTGATCCTTGAGAACTTGATCCTGTGCCTTAACCCCAAGGATCCTAGGCCCTGGGCTGGAGAAGAGTAAACAAACAAGCCAGGGGCCATGAGCCCCAGACTGCCACCAAGTTGTGGAGGCACATTTCCAAATAAAAACTTCTTGGAGTGAATTATTGATCAGGTCTGCTGTCCATTCTTCCTGCCGTCTCCTCTCTTCCTCCCTCAAGCCGAGTGATAGGCCCAAGAAAGAATAAGGCATATGGTACAGGGGCTTGGAAAGTACACTCTGCCACTCACTAACTGGGTGACTTTGGCCACGTTTCCATACCTCTCTGTGCTTCAGTTCCCAGGTTAGTAAGACAGGGATAATAATAGTACCTACCTTATCGGGGTGTTGTGAGGATTAAGTGCACATAAGCAAGAACTGTTATTAGTGTCACCCAAAGTGTTTCTTGAGCATCTACCTACTCTATGCCCTGCAATTTCCCAGGTTACTTAATCCTCATGGCAACTCTGAGAGGTAGATGTTATTATTCTTGTTTTGCATGTGTAGAAATTCAGGCTCAGAAGGGTCAAGTAACTTGTCCAAAGCTTTCCAAACTTGCTTCTCTTCCCATATTTGTTTACTGATGATTATTTTTTTTAGAGCGGGAGAGAGAGAAACATCAATTTGTTGTTCCACTTATTTATGCATTCATTGGTTGATTCTTGTATGTGTCTTGACTGGGGATTGAACCTAGAACCTTGGTGTATTGGGACGATGCTCTAACCAACTGAGCTACCCCACTAGGGTCTTTTCATATTATCTGACTCACTGACCTTATTACCTAAGACAGAGATTTAGGAATCTAGAATGACTTGCTCCCTCCCTCTCACCCACCTCATGCACAACCCATCATCAAATCCAGTAGATTCTCTCTCCTTCATACTCTCATATCTACTCCTCCTCTATCCCCATGGCCACAGCCATGGCTAAGGCCTTTGTATCTTCTCTCTGCATGGTCACCTTTGACTCCTCCATCTCGCCCCATATCTAATCAGTCTCCAAGTCCAATTGATTGGCTTTTTTGGGTCACTCTCACATCCATCCTCTTGGGGCCATGTCTCATGGCCAGTGCCTTACTCTGGCCCTTACCACCCTCCAACTGGATCAGATCAGTAACTGGGTCTTCTTGCTTCCTTTTCTCTCCAGGGCTGCCTGAATGGGTTTTCTAAAATGCAGGTCTGTTCTGGACTCTTCCCACTTTCCAGTCTCTCAGTGGTAGCCTGGACAGTCAAGTTCACATTCCCTAAATTCCATGGGCATGTGAGGCCCATGAACATCTGGCCCAGGCGGACATCCTATGCCTCTAGCTTTTGGATCTACTAGCAGCTCTGGGCTTGCACATGGGCTGTTCTGTCCACCTTACTTCTCGTACCAGTCCCCAAACTAGAGGCTTGAGTTCCTTGAGGGCAGGGGCGTGTCTTCTTCCCTGTAGGCCCCCGGTGCCTAGCACAGTGTGCTTGGCTCTCAGGAAGCATGCAACAGATGTTTTTAAAAATGAATTTATGAGTAAACATATTCTAAAATTAATGACTGGGTGTCACACAGCTTAAAAGGGATGAAGTAAGATTCAAACTCAAGTCCGTTCATTTATTCAACAATGAAGCTCTTCCTGTATGCCAGATATTGTGCTAGATGCTGGCGACACGACACAGAACAAAACATAGAGCCCCTGCCCTCCTGGAACTTATGTGCTTATGTGGTGTCAAAGTTCACATCTTTTGCAAGTTCACCAAATTCTGTTGCAAAGAGCCTCATTATAATCTAAAGTGTCACGAAGCAAAGCTGCCGGTATAACACAATGCATATTTCAGGGGTGGGAAGTGAGATTCAAACTCTTCAGTGTGGCCCTAGCCGGTTTGGCTCAGTGGATAGAGCGTCGGCCTGTGGACTGAAGGGTCCCGGGTTTGATTCTGGTCAAGGGCACATGCCCGGTTTCAGGCTCGATCCCCAATACGGACCATACAGGAGGCAGCCGATCAATTATTCTGTCTCATCATTGATGTTTCTATCTCTCTCTTCCTCTCCCTTCCTATCTGAAATAAATTATATATATAAAAAGCTCTTAAGTGTAGTAGGGATTCAGGAAAAGGGGAATCATTAGGTAGGAGCTGAGATTCAAGATGGTCCTTAAAATGTTTAATAAATAAGTAGGAAAACATAGGAACAATACACGTAGAAGGCAGCATACCACATTTATGGGCACAAGAACTCTGGATTCCGGTATTGGATGGGAGGATCAGTGGTACAAGGAGTTTTAAGAAAATCAATTTGCTGCCTGGCTGGCATGGCTCTGTGGTTGAGCATCAATTTATGAACCAGGAGGTAATAGTTCGATTCCTGGTCAGGGCACATGCCTGGGCCCAGGGCTCAATCCCTAGTGGGAGGCAAGTAGGAGGCAGCCAATCAGTGACTGTCCCTCATCATTGATGTTTCTATCTCTCTCTCCCTCTCCCTTCCTCTCTGAAATCAATAAAAACATATTTTAAAAAAAGAAAAGAAAAGAAAATCAACTTGCAGATCTTCATCTTCCAAGTTCTGTTTACCAAAACTCTTTCCTCTTTCACAATTTCACCTTCCCTACTTTCAGTAGCAAGGCTCACCATTCCCCATCCGCTGTCTTTCAGTAGGGGACTACCCAGAGGGTGAAATTCCTGGAGCGCTAAACAAAGCTCCTATTTGAAATGCTAGTGCAGGGCTATAGGTGGTGAGAAAGTGGGCAGCTCAAGACCTGGACAACAGATTCTTTTGATTTTTAAGGCAGGATCTTTGCTTTCAAAACCCTGAAGAATCCTTAACAATATTTTTTATCGTAGATCTTCATGATTTTGGGGCGGGGGAGACAACTCAGAAGTAGATGCCATTGCTAAATCAAACTCTCACTTCCTATCTACTTATGAAGTGAACAAGGTTTCTCAGCTTCAAAATAAAATAAAAAAAGGAACTAGAATTGATGCTGAATGCGGTCTCATTCTAATAAATAATATTCAACTGTGAACATCTGAACTACCTGAGGGTGGGGGTGGGGGAAGCAGTCCATGAATTTCATTGGTAAATACATTTCCAATGCATTTTTGTATTTATGTTTAATGTGTATAAAAATCATAATATTTATGTTGTTTTGCTCAACTGAGTACTACTAATATTTCTGATGGCCACTCAAACCAGAAAAAAATTTCTCACTTAGAGCTTTATAGTTACATAAAGCTTAGATTCTTTTTAAACTTTAACTTATATACATACTTTGGTTGCAGAGATGTATGAGATTGTGATCAATAAAAGACTTCCAAGCATAAAATATGTTACATTGAGATTAGATTGTTGAGGGGAAAGAGGAATGGAAATACAAGTACAAGGAGAACAAGAAACAATGTAAAATGTTTTTATTGCTAAAGAAAAGCACGTTATTTTGTAAAAATATTTTTTTATTGATTTCAGAGACAAAGAGAGAGGGAGAGAAACATCAGTGATGAGAGAGAACCATTGATCAGCTGCCTCCTACATGCCTCCTACTGGGGATGTGCCCTTGACCAGAATCAAACCCAGGACCCTTCAGTCCACAGGCTGACACTCTATCCACTGAGCCAAACCAGGTAGGGCTGTTCATGGGACTTTTTAATATAACTTCCTTACAGCTATAACATGTATGTTCAATAACTACGATTGTGTGGGCACATAAAGCCATTGAGTGGCTATTTGTCTTTGGGGGGAAAAATTTGTTGAGAATTTTACAGATGTCCACAT